AGTGGTTTATTTTCTCAAATATTATTTTTTTATATTAAAATAAATAATTATTTAAATCTAAAAAAAAATTTCTTAATGTGTAATTCTATAGTATTTAATAGAATTTTTATAATTTTAATTGATTATTATAAAATGAATGAATATTATAAAATAATTTTTAAGAATAAAAATATGTATTTTTTCAATTTAAGTAACTAAAAATATACTTTTTTTTTATTAAAAAATATTACCTTAAAGATCTTTTTTAATTAATCTTCAAAATATTTTATTTGTATAATACTTGTAAAAAAATTATATTGAAAAAATTAAATTAATAATATTAATCACTTTTTATTAGAAATTTTTTTTAAGATAATAATTTATTAAAAATTATAAAAAATTTGATTTTTATCAAAAATTTTTGAATGTTGTTTTGAAGTTAAAAAATTTATAAAAGTAGTTACTGGAGAAGTAAAAAATATAAAATTATAATATTAACTAAAGTTTCTTTTTCTTTTTTTTAAAAAAAATATATTTACTTCTATTATTTCTGAAGTTTCTTTAAATTTTAGTTAAAACTACTGTTTTCTTATATTAATTCAGCAATTTGTTGAATATTTTATCTTTTTAGGTTATTATTATAACTTTATATAATAAAATATAAGTGATTAGTCTTTTTTAGTTTAATTATTTTTTTTATTTAGATATATTATATTTATATTATTATAATAAATCATTAAAATATTATTTTTTTTTTAATTTTCTTTTTTAATAAGTATTTATTAAATAATTAAACAATTTTCTTTTTAAAATAATTTTAATTTTAATTTAATATTTATAATTATTTTGATAAGTTTATTTTGATTTAATATATTGATGAATTATTTTTGATATACTTTTTGAATTTATTTCTAATATAAATAAAAAAATTTATATAAATAAGCTTAATTTTTCATTTTTAAAATAATGATTTTAATTTAAACTTTATCTTTTACAATTATATAATTAAAATATTAATAAAAAAATAATTTTAAGAACAAAATGAATGTAAGTTAAACAATTAGCTAACTTATTAAATAATAAATTAATATTTTTACTTTAAGTTTGTGCTTCTTTATGTTTAAAAAGCTAAATAGAATAAAATATTGATTCAGTTAATAATAAAATTAGTTAAATTTATTATTTTATTTTATAGTATTTTAATAATGCTATTTTTTCAATAAAATATAATAAATAAATTTATTAAACAAATTACATTTTTATTAAATAATTATCAAATTTATTTTAAACTTAAGTATATATAAAGACAATACTAGCATTTATTTATCATTTTATTTTTAAAATATAAACTATTATTATATTAATTAACTATAAAAATTTAAATACATGATTAACTGAAGTTAAAATCATAATTATAATTGCAGTTTTAATTTCAAATAATAAATTGAAGGATAGTTTAACTCAAGGATTAATTTAATAATTTTAAACTAAATTAAACTAAGTTAAACTAATAATATTCTAAAAGAAGAATCATTTTAGAAATATTTCTTTTAATAAAAATTATTTGAAAATATTTTTTTTAAAGAAAAATCATTCTGAAAATGTTTCTTTTAATTAAAATTATTCTGAGAATATTTTATTATTTTAGAAACATTTTTCAATAGGAATTATTTTAAAAACATTTTTTTTAAGGTAAAATCATTTTAAAATCATTTTTCTTAATAAAAAATTATTTAAAGAATATTTCTTTTAATAGAATTATTCTGAAAATGTTTTTTGGTAAAATCATTTCAAAATATTTTTATCAAATTATGTAAGTCAAATGAATTAACTTGTAATTCAGATTAACTTAGCTTAAATTATTGATTGATTGCCATAAACTAAGCCAAATTGGCTTATATAAAATTTTGCTTTATATAATTGTAAACATCAATCAGTATTGATTTAATTGTTGAACCAAAATATTTATTATTAAAATGCATAAAAATATATATAATCCTTTACTTTGTTTTAGACTAAAAAAATGTAATTAATATTAAATCATTTTTACAATGCTATTTTATTAAATTGATATCAAATTAAGATTGATTTATAATTAAATTTATATTCTGAATTGATATTAAATTAAGATTAATTTTAGGTTGATTTATAATTGAATTTATATTTTGAATCGATATTGAATTGTTTTATCTGATTTGAATTTATTAATATCAATTTATATTAATAAAAAACAAATAATTTGATTATAAATAATATCATATTTAGTTTAAATTTAACCATCTGATTTCTAGTTGATTTGAACTATTTTGACTAGTATTAATAATACATAAACTAAAGTTTTTAATTTTCATTTTATATAAAAAATCTAAAGCTTTTTTATAATTAATTATAAAATCAATCTTTAAATTATATTATATGATCATTATATAATCTGAAAACTTTTAAATTGTCATATTTAAAAAGAATCAGATCTTAATGCCGTAATATCAGCCAAAAAAATCACGTGAAATATTTTTTGTGTAAAACTCTTATAATGATCAATAAATAATAAAAATTTTCTAATATATTTTGTATAAATAATAAAATAAATATTCTATTTTCAAAAAAAAAGTTCAAATTCAAATTTTACTAAAAAGCAATGCAAATTTCTTTCATTTATATTATTAAAAAATACAATCCCATAACCATATAAAGACTAAAAAGAAACACAAAATAATTACAAATAGCTTTCGCATACACCCGAACCCGCGGTTCTCATAAACAAAAGCAAAAGAACATATATTTATATAATGATAAAAAAAAAAAAACTTATAGATAAGAAATATGTATATATAATGTATGAAGATGTGTATGAAGAAAAAAAAATGTTGATAAATCAATCTGACCATCCTCCAACTACAAAGAGTCCATTAAAATATTCACATGACCCGCGGTAAAAGCGAGTATAAAATTATATATATATATTTTTTTTTAAAAAAGCAATATATATTCTCGAAACAAATAGATTTGTATAATTTACTTCAGCAACTTACGTAAAAATAAGAACTCCACAATCCCACGAATAAAATTATCCCAAATTAAAAGAGGAATCCTGTTCTTTGTATTTTGCTATAAAAAATAAATATATATATAGAAAGGAAGTTTTTTTTTTTTTCTTTTTTTTGATTTACTATGATAAAGTCTTTTTTGTTTTGTTTTTGATTTGGATATACAACGCGTGTTTAGAGTAAAAGTTAATAAATCGTCCGTGATTCTTGTCAAAAATGATCAAGATAAATATATAAAAAATGTTTACAAAAACAATAGTCCTTCACAAATCTTAAATTATTCGATTTTTCTGAGTTATTCAGATTCATCATTTTGACTACCAGTGCTACAATTTCCACTTCCACCGTTTAAATTAATGTTCGTGGCGTTTGGACTGTTTCCAGTTATTTGTGATGGCAAATTAGCATAAGGATTTGTAGTTACCACACCTGGGCTAGTTGGTCCAACCAGTGGTGCAATCCCGTCTTTTCTCATTTCAACTTGTCGTTTGTCATAAAACTCAAAATCATCCAATATTGATGTCTTGCTACGGTACTCAAAAAATATCTTTAACATCTCACGCCCAGGTTCAGGAAATAATTCCTGTGTATCACGGCTATTTGTGACTGGTTTGTTCTCGTTGTTTCTATAAAAACATCGATATATAGAATTAGAGTAATCAAAATTATAAAATAAACAAAATGTAATTACCAAAGAAATACATACACTACTCTTATATGCCTTAGCTGTCCATTGGGAATATCTTTTACAAAAATCCATTTGACTTTGAAGACACCTTTCCATTTGTCCTGGGCCCAGACACTGCTGCTAGTAGTGTAATCAACAGGGGTAAGCATTTGTGCCATGCCACAAAAATGTCCACTACGTATTGATTAAGATATAAATACATTATGAACCGGATCAAAATCATAATAAGAATAAAAATCAAGTTACCTAGCATTTACACTAAAAAATAAATAGATTGGGCCTTTATCAGAACTTTCGCGGAAGGCTTTATCTAAACGTCGATTTCCAATTTCAGTACTTGCCCAAATGTCATACTATTACGAAATAATAAATTTTAGTTTCGTTACAATAACCATTATTAAAATTTTTGCGAAAATATCAACACACATTAATATCACTGATTTCAAACCTTTAAAGATTTATGGACATCATCTTCAGTATATGACTTAATAACAAAATATCTTGCCTAAATTTTATAGTATTTCAAATAAATATTAATACCTCAAGAAAAATAATGAAAACTAAAAAAGATCTTACATGATTTGGTTTAAAGTTAAAAGCTTTAGGATTATATCCCTTAGCTGAAACCCATGAAGACATATCTTTCTTTGCTACTCCTGGTGCGGACGGAATAGAAAGAGGTCCTAAACCGGTTGGAGTTGGAAGTCCTGCATTCGATGTGACGAAAAGATTGTTCATACCATTACCTGTAGGTGTTCCGACGATATTTGCTTTACTAGGCCACGCACCAGTTGGCGCAGACATTGGCCTATTTGCATATGTTGAAGTCGGTGATACCGCAGAAGTTGAAATTGCAGCACTATAAGCTCCAACTGCCGTACCAAGTACCTCCGGTGAAGTATTCACTGGAGGAGGCTTAGGAGCAGTTTTTGCAATAGCAGCCCAAGATAATTTGGCCTGTTGTTTAGGTGCTACCGCAGATCCTGGTACTTGAACTGCTGAAAGATCTGGTGACGTCACATTACCTAAATCAGAAACTACATTACCATTCGCACCGCCCATACTCATATTGTTCAATGAATTTGTTAAATCAGCAATTGAATGATTGCTAGTAGTATTTCCTGACAAATCTTCCCGAACACCACCTAACAAAATGTTTTGATTTGAAGCGTTAATGCTTGCTAAGGTAGGTGAAGTAAGTCCAGCCAATGTTGGGCTATAATAATGTTCAATATGATCCGCATTAAGCGTTGGGGAAGTAAGTATACTCCCAGGTCTTGGTGATGTCGGGCTACGAATACCCTCTAACCCAGGAGGGGCAGATATATTTGGTGTTTGAATACTACGAATGTCTAATTTTAACCCAAAGTCCTTATTCTCCTTATATTTCCCCGTATCACGTTGTGGAAGTATAATATCATCATTACTTGGATCATACAATGCCATACTTCCGGTAACAACATCATCAGATACAATATCCCCATTTCCATCTAAACGTCGACGTTGAGAGTTCTCTGAAGCTACAGATGTGCTCCAAGACGGGAGACGGAAAGTTGCGGATAGATCTGCTTGTGTTGGTTTTTGCTTTTGTTTAAGTTGTTGCTGCTTTTGCTGTTGAAGTTGGAGTTGTTGCTGAATAAGTTGTTGCTGATACTGTTGCTGTATTTGCATATGAAGTTGTTGATGTTGTGATTGTTGAGCTTGTTGTGACTGTTGTGACTGAGACTGTTGTTGTTGAAGATGTTGTTGTTGTTGTTGTAAAGCATTTCCAAACGATCTAAAAGAATAATGCATTTGTGATTGAGGATAAAAACCAGTTGGGGAAGACGGTGATGCAACATTTGAAGATATGGTTGGTTCATAATAGTCTAAAGGTCCTCCCAAACCATGCTCAAATTTAGCATGACTGTTATCATCTTGAATAAGGCCATTGCTTTGAGTATTGTTTGCAATTGATGATCTTCTGATATTCGACCCAAACAACCCACCATTGTAACTTGTATACTGATCATTATTTTGCTGTATTTGTGGTGGAAAATATCCACCATTATTGTTCAATGCATGTGATGAAAGATTAGTTAAATTTTGAGGTGTAAAGCTAGATGTTGATACCCAAGGTGAAGTCGCAACAGTCGCGACATTAGAAGGGTAAATATTGTTATTGAGCTCGCTTTGTGATGGTAATGTTGCAGATCGCAAAGGCTTATAAACAATGGATTCCTTTGATAAAAACAAACGAAATTAAGCGTTATTCATATCTAAAAATATTCCCGTGAAATTATATATATACATATATTTTTTTTAAAAAATAATATTAAATCATCCATAAAATTGTTCATGATAAAATAATTTTTATTTATCACTTTAAACAAACCTTTGGCGAATCTTCGAGTCCAGGAGTCCGGATCACTCTATCCCAATCATGATCATTCTCTTCGGATAACGCGGATAAAGGATTTTTAATAAGAGTGGATTCAAAATAAGAATTTTCATAATTTCCTATGCGAAAAAAAATGAATGTTTATATTAGTTTAATTAAATAAATTGATCCACGTTTTTTTCGCTACCAAATGATTTTATTGAATCGCTACTCATACCTCCAAAACCAGAATTGTTTTTACCAGCTCGCGGGGGAGGTGATGTTGCAAGAAATGAATTACCGTAGGAAGTATATGGGTTTTGTTGAGTCTGTTGGTACGATAAGCCATCCTCACCACTATTTGCACTTTGAGGTATTACTGAAATACTATTACTACGACCAAACCCTGAACCGACTGGCATGGGAGAAGTATCTGAATTATGACCAAAAGAAGCTCTGTTGTTAAATTCTCCACCACTCGTATTTCCCGATATTCCATTAATCATACTGTTAAAGCCAGGTGGTCTTTTCACTGGTGAAAATTGTCCAAAATTTGAAGCATTTTGATAACTAGTCAGCACATTCGAATCAGTTTTTATATTAGAAATCAGAATTCCATGATGATGCCCAGTGACCAAGGTTTCATTACCAAGACTATGTACGTTGCTTCCACTCGGATTTGATATATTAGCTCCATTTCTTGAAACTTTTATTGGTTCCCAATCTTTGCTAGATGTTTGATAAGTTTGACTACCATTTACATCAGTTTGTTGTGAAGGCTGACGCACATCGTTCAAGGTTAGATTGACTGCTTGTTCCATGTCTGGCACTCCCTGCAACCCAGGCGAATTTGAATTGGTGGGTGATTGTTGTTCGTTAGCCATCATAACTAAGCAACTTGGTACCAAGTATATACTAGTTATCGTATGGTCCTATCATTGACGTTTCAACTGATAGTAAAGTGTATGTATTATTGTAATATGGAGAATCTGCGGAAGGATAAACTGGCAATAGCCAATCAAAATGAAATTTAACACATTAATTCGTCATCATTACATTGTCACACAATGCACAGGACAATTGTTGTTGGAGTTGCAATTTTTTTTAAAAATTCTTTCAATACTGAAAACTGTGAATACATATTTTAAAGACTATGTTTTTCCGATTGGGAAATTGATTTAAACTCTTTAAGGCCAGTCACTAAAATAGTTTATATATGCAGTTGAGAGTGATAACTTCAAATAAATTAAAATAAATTTTTGTAAATATTTAAATAAATATTATAAATATTATTAAAAATATTTTTTAAAAAAAGATGTTTACATTTATAAATTCCAAAGACTATATTATAAAAAGTTAGAAGAAATACAAATTTGACTATTGGAATTAGCCTATCCCGGTGGTTTTATTGCTTATCAGCACATGAAAATGCTGCGATGATATCACGGGGTTTCTTGCAACTTTGAATTTCAATGTTGAATTCTTAATAGTTATTTCACGGAAGCCCTGATATCATTACTCATCACGGTTACTTGATTTAATTTTTCTAATAAACTTTCTCATTCATTATTTAAAACATTGTGCATAGTATGTTAAGTAAATATTTATTCTTAAAAATACGAAAAAAAAAATAGAGTTTTTTCTAAACCCAATACCATTTTCTCAAAATATACTGGCGTCATGATAAGCATTTCATTCTCCAGTCGGTTGTAACTTTATGATATCTCAAACATTATGGGATCCTCTACCTCCTCCTGATCTTTATGCTGGATGATTTTGCATAGGATGTAATGTTAAACAAGAAACACCTCTCATATTTGGACTTGTCAAACCTTCTCTATAAGAATAAATGATATCATTATAGCAACCAAAGATCTTGCTAGAGAATTAGTTCTGAAAAATAGAAATTTCAACTCTCTTCACTTCTCCCCAATTTCTTAGATCTCTTTGACAAGATCTTTGCTGTTTCTTTTGATTTTAATAATGGTTTTTACAATATCATCAGATCTTACATGGTTTTTATGATTTACCAAATAATAAGCAAAAATTTGGTTATATTTATAACAGTCAAAATATGTTTATTTTTCTTTGAAAAAATTTATGACTAAGTTTGAAAATACCAATATTACTTATTGATTGAAAAAAGAATGATTATTGGAAATCATAAAAAAACAAATACATATATAATACAAGTAAGTTTTTAGATCATAGTCTTACTTCTAATTAGACTTATTTTTAAAAACTGTGAATTTATCTGATAAATAAATATGATAATAAAATTTTTGAATTTTAGAGAAAAAAAAATAATAATAGGTTGATTTAAATAGGTTTGAAAGATAATTATAAGGATAGCTAATATTTAAAATATTTTTTTATTTTTAATTTATAATTTTAATTTATAAACTAATAAAATTAATAGTAGTATTACATCAAAAAAAAATATTTTTATGAGTATATAATTCAATTTTATTTGTAAATTGATGCTATTAAGTTTATTTTTTAAGATTAAACAAAAATAATATAGGTAATTTAAATTATTTGCTTTATATATAAGATAAAATATTAAAACTTTATATTAATTTGAAATTATAACTGAAATTTGAGAAAAGAATCAAAATATTTTATTATGTATTATTAAATCAACAATATTATTTAATATTAAGATAGAATATAAAAGTATTTTTAAAAAATTATAAAAAGTTTCTTATACTATTCTCTTAAATTTATCAGATTTTTATCAGAATTATTATTTACTGATAAAATTGATAAATATTCTAATAATTATTTTATATTAGATTTATTACGTCATTAGTTTTTAATAATTGTTCCTGAGCAAAACAAAGGACTATATATTTGTATATATTGAGAAAATTTTGGTCATGTAAGCGTTTCTCTTATATGATTTTCATCTAATAATTCACTTAAAACTTACAATAATCACTATTTTCTAGTTATATATTATTATTAAAATAATTATATAATAATATAATTAAAAATATTGTAGTTTAAAGATCATTTTTAATAATCATTTTACTAATAATACTAATAGTATAGAAATTATAGAGTGAATATAATTTGAGGAAAAAAATTATTATATAATTAATATAATAGTTAGATAATTATTTTATTTAATAATATGTTGTTAATTATAAATAAAATGAATTTATAATTATAAATTTATTATAAATAGAATAATAAAAATCTTAATAAAAAGAGTAGTTCAAAACATTTGAAATTATAGAAAATAATAGTTCAAAAATAAGAATTATTAATAAAATCTAATAAACCTATCTTTATCTTATAAATATTTCTAATTATTAAACTGGTTTATAATAATTATAGCATTCAAAACTATACATTCTTTGAAATAAATAAGTTTTAATCAAATAAATTAATAAATATATATTGATAAATTACCTTCAGATAATTTATTACATTATTATATATTAAAATTAGTAGAAACTGACAGATTAGACAATTCTGATAGATTAAATAAAGCTGACAAAACTGTTGATCTAACATAGTTATTATTATTATTATTTCTATTATTATTATTATTATTCATTTCATTTTATATTTAGTATATTTAATACTATTAGTATATATATTAGCATTATTAATATTATTATTGTTATTAATAATACTTTAAATATAATTATTATCAGTGATTTTCTTTAATTATATTTTCTTATATAAAGAATATAAAATGCCTTTGAAAAAGAACAGATTTCAACATTCAATTTAATAACAATAATAAACAATAATAATATTTTACAAATATTAAATATATAACTTTTATTCTTATTAATTAATAAGTTCTTTAATTAATATTGTATCAATTGATTAGATTTAAGTCATAGTTATTATCCTTTTGATTTCAAATCATAATTAATTTATTTAATAAAAGAGTATCATTAACAATATATTATAAATATATTTTAAAATAGTAGATTTTTTAAGATACATATAATAATATATAAAATGTAATTGATTTTTATCTAATTTATCAAAATTTATTTATTTTAAATCAATATTACAGTTAATAAAAATACTTATTATATAAATATAAGTAGAAATTTTATACAAAAAGAAATATATAATAAAGTAAAATATTTATTTCACATAAATATAATCAAATAATTTAAATATTTACTTACAGTATATTTATAAAATTGATAATTTGTAATATAATAACTATAAACAGTTATATTTTAATAAATTTAGTGATTATCTTTTTATTAAAATTATATGTATAGATTATTGTATAGGATTTTTAAAATAAAAAATAATTCTAAATACAAATTTTATATTTTAAATAGAAAAAAAATTTAATAAAATTATTATTACTATTTATTATTTATTTTTTGATAAACATTTATCCTTTAAAGTGTAAATATAAATTAATTATAAAACATTTAAAAATTTATAATATTTTAATATCTAGTAATAATAAAAGATAAAATAAAGTTTATTAGATTTGTTATATTAATATGTATCTAATAATAGTATTTTTAAATTTTTAAAATTAATAATTATTAATATATATCAATTTTTTAATTTTTTAATTTTTAAAATAATTTATTATCTAATAGTTATAAAAAAATGCTGATCTTTTTGATTAAATGTCTCCAACAACTAGAAAATAGAGCATATATAGAAAAAAAACTGAACTTTATAATAAAACTGTTCTAAACACTTTAGATAACAACAAAAAACCTAGTGTTTTATCCCCCAATGATAACAAAAAGAAAGAATAACGATAATATTACTAAAACTATAAAAAGACAAAAAATTGATACTACTACACTTGATACTACTCTTACAATAACTAAAGATTTAGATATTATCCAACAAACAACAGTTATTACACAGATCACTTCTTTCACTCCTGAGGCAGGTTTTGTCTTTGAAGACTCAGAAGTATATGAAATGGAAATAAATAAAACAAAAATATTTCACTTTCTTTATCTCAAGAAGCTAATGTTACGGTCAGTTCTTTAAGATGCTTATGAGTGATAAGTGAAGTAATATTTATGGATAGTAAGCAAAAGGTTTAATTTGATATTTAGATTTAGAAGAGTATCAGTAAATTAACAGTTTATTTAATAACTATAACAATGAAGTA